TGCACAGTGCAGTCTGTGATCCATACTCTGCACATAATGCAGTCGGTGATTGTTGTACCCTAGCCTGTGCAATAAATATATATTCATTGTATTATACCTAGCCACATCTTTGGTTTCTGATTGGGAGTTACATCTACAGTATGTACAATACTGTAACACTATAATTCTATTATTGTAAATAGAGCAAGCAATGCAGGAATAAAGTTTGAAGTCTCTCTCTGCGTCCTGTTGTTTGATTTGATTTCTCCGCGTTTCCGTCAGGGAGTCTACACATTACAGCCTTTTAGCCCCAAGGATTCACGACGGTGCATACATGGCTACAGGAGGGTTATCTGGTGTGCTTCAGCCCCCTCTATTTCTTCAAGAACCTGGTGAGCCTCCAGTTCCCTGGAAAAATTGGATTTCGCTTTTTCAGACCTACATTGTAGCCACTGAGACAAAGAATTCAGTCCCGCCCGTAAAAGAGTGCTATTGCTAAATTGTCTGGGCGTGGAAGTTCAACACGTTTTCAACACCTTACCAGAATGCAATGATTCCCCAATGGAGGGCCTAGATCTGTTCGAGTACAGAATATAGATTTTGAAAAAACATTTTTAACCGGCGATTCATGTACAAGCGGAATAATATCGTTTCCAACAGCGTTCACAGCATCCTGGTGAAACAATTGATAATTATGTTGCTGCTCTACGAGAACTCATAAAACAAGTGATTTTTACACTTTCACAGACCAGATGATATGGGACTAGGTAGTAGAAAAGATGAACAGTAGTGTGGCGGTTTTCGGTTGATTGCTCAATACAGCTCCCCTTGATTGTCTGAGTTCAACTAAAGTTCAAGTTGACAAATTGTGCATACTGAGCTTGAGTTCTTTAATACTTGTTTACAGGGTTTCATATTACAGCCTTCACAGGAATTCATGGCAATAACGGGATTTCACAAGTGTTCTGGTATTCAAGGGATTTCACAGATGTCAAGGCATTCATGAATTCACAGGTGTCAAGATGGTTCACAAATTCACAGATATCACAATGTTTCATAATGCTTGACAATAGTTCACTGTGGCTTACATAAAAACTGGAATATAAATACGAAAGATTAAAATGAACACAAAGCATACATGGAAGTACATCTCCAAGTACAATAAACATGTGGAATGATTAGAAATGCTGCATAACTTGATCCAGTAATCATCCGGTTTATAAATGGTAAGAAATGAATTCACAATACTATAAAGCCCAGAATTGTATAAGAATCTAGATCCAGTGTTTATGGGGGAAACCAAGATAACGTTAGGTGTGGTGCGTGTGTATCATTAATGGAATATCGTTAGACAAACACACTATAAACATTTGTGCTATTGAACCGCTATTTTACCTTAAAAATACTTCAAGGTGCTGTTAAATCACAGAAATAACATTAAAACTAATTCTGTGATTCATAAAATATATAAAGATTAAGTTATCTCTGTCCCTAGGTCAGGTTATGAGAGAAAACTTCAGGGTTCTTTGAGTCAAAATTTATTAACGATGTCTGCTACAAACGTGGTCATGAAAAAGTACAGTTTGCGCAACAGTGCCACCATGTGGCAGGAATGTACATAGCAGGCCGCTGCCATCACAAGTAGTAAAGTAAGAGAACGTCGACTAATGGAGAAAGAACTTATTCTTCCTAAAGCTAAAGAGATCACCCATCGCGTGGAAAATGCTGTCCAAGAAGCAAAAACACTATCCCAAGGAACTGGCAACAACTTGACTTCACCAGCAATGAACAAAGTTACCGGGAATGTGAGACATGCGCCATGCCCCAATTCTATACCGAAGTCTTCTAGTGCACGTGGAACAACCCTGCAATGCCATCGAACCTGTTTCACATGTGGCTCCACCCAATACCTTGCGAATTTTCCGTCTTGTCCTGCAAAGGACAACATGTGTAACAGGTGCAACAAGACTGGACATTTCAGCATTGTCTGCCAATCATCAGCGAGTGTTGCAAGGCCGCAAAGCGGGAAACCAAGCAGAGGGACTGGCAAACAAGGCAAGCAAGTAAACCAAGTCCTTGACGACGAGAAGGTTGAAATCCTTGTGACAGACTCATCAAAGGGCAGCACTGAACCAGTTGATTGTGAGGTAGAGATAAATGAAGTACCACTAACTTTAATGGTTGATACAGTTTCTGGTTTAAAGACACAAAAGAAACCTTCCAGAAGTATTTCCTTCTCAATGCCTTAGACATGCAAACCCAGCATCAATCACTCTCTTCGCTTGCAAAGCACCCCATCAAGATCATTGGATGTTTTAAGTGTTCGGTCAAACATGTCAAGTACTCCATGATAACCAACGTACATGTATATGTGGTTGAGAAAGGTACTGATATATTAGGTAGACACCTAATTCAAGCTCTGAACATAACTATTGATGGTAGTACACTATTGTGCAATGAGATTAACACAATGAAGCCAGTGAGACTAAAACAGATGAAGCAGATGATAACATGAAAACATGAATAACATGAAAGTACCAATGAATTTGATCAGTTATTCACTACATCTGAGCAGCTTCCAAATGTAAAAGGGTTCATTAACAAAGTGAAACCGACCATGAAGTTAGACCTGTCAGTCAAAGGTTACGTAGACCACCCTTTGGAAGTAGAGAGAAGGTTTCATTTACATTGTAAATTACATGATCTTGACAAACAGGGTATACTAGAAAGGATAGATGCATCGGAATTGGTGTTGCTAATTATAGTAGCTTGGAATAAGTCTGGTGGCCCAAGAATTTGTGTAGGGCAGTAATTCCTGACAGATATCCTTCGCCTAAAAGTGATGAGATTATGAGTGAATTACGAAATGCCTCGGTATTTTCCCAATTGGATTTGACCTAGAAGTCATTAGTTATTACTACATGAGGATTCTAAACCGCTCACAGCATTCATAACACACGAAGGCCTTTTTCAATACAAACGCAAGTGTTGCGGCCTTTCCTCTGCTCCATCAGCTTTCCAGAAGATGCTGAGTATTATTTTGAGTGGATCAGATGGTGTACAGTGCTATCTCGATGATGCTATCATTTATGGTAACATGCACGCTGACAATGATAGAAATTGGAGAAGTGTATGTGCTAGACTAATGCGTTACGGTATCAAGTGTAACCCAGACAAAAGCATGTTTTCAAAGTCAAGTGTGACATTTCTGGGACATACAGTCAGCGAAAAAGGCATTCAACCAGATGACAAGTTTCAAGCAATTGTTGATGCACCTGTCCCGCATGACAAGAAAACTCTCAGGTCATTCTTAGGGTTAGCAGGGTATTTTGCAAAGTACATGTATATCCCTAACTTCGCAACTATGGTTGAACCACTGTGCATTATGATTCCAGGTAATAACAAATTCATATGGTCAGATGCAGCTCAACAAAGCTTTGACAAAGTACACATTTTGATTGGCCAAAGTCCTTGCTTGGCTATGTATGACGAACAGCTGGAGTGTCTGTGATTCACACTCCCAAAGTGCACTCTGCGATCTACACTTTGCGCAGTGCGGTCTGGGATCC